AGCAAATGTCAAGGCAGAGAATGAATTAGAGAATCTTGCAGTGATGCCGGCCTGTTTAACAAGGGTGTGCCATCCCACTTAACAGGATCCAATAGGGCTGAGCAGCGCAGGCATCGCCAGGTGCCCCTGCGTGGCAGCGTCTCTAATATTCTATACGGCACCAAATCTCTCCCTTGGGAGCCCGCGCAAGGTTGCATTGTTGGCTGGGCTCTTGTATGACATTCATCTTCATGAGTGAGCTGTTCCATCTCCTCTCACGAGCTGAAATAAATGGCAGAAGAGATCAGCCACTGTGTATTACACGGCCACTAGGAGCGCGGGGCTTCCCTCCTTCTGCCCTTCAACGCCGGAATTACTTCAGATCAGAGCCAGGAAAGAATTCAAAAAGGCACGAGGCTGCGTCTGTTAGAGGGAGAAGCAGGGCACGGGAAAGCAAAGGAAACAGAAACAGAAACGGCCCTTGCTTACTGCTAGAAAAGGCATGGGAGCGTGGGCCCATTCATTCATGCTCCTCCAATTGAGGGTCGTTTTTGATTTTCTAGTCAAGTGGTCTTCATGGTGGGTGGGAGATGTGAGCAGGAGAGGAGAAGTAGAAAGTTCTCTCAGAGAGGATGGTCGGTTGTGCACAGGGACAAAACGTGAACTTTGCTCTTAGATTTTTAATTATCTGCGTAATTAAAAAAAATCAAATTGTCTTAAAATATTAAGATTGACACAACTGTCTTTATGCAATCCATGTCAACTTTACATGATGAATAATAACAAAACAATGAGATTGTCCGGGGATATAACTCGGAGGCACAGGGTCTGCCTGGCAAACCCAAGACCCTGAGTTCAATTTCCAGTTTTTTTTTTAAAAAGTGAGATTGTGGGTGTTATGGTTTGTGTCTATTTGTCCCTCCCAAAGCCTCATGTAGTCATCAGGGTGGCTTCTAGAGGTTGTGATTAATTCATGATCCAATGCGGGGATTATGGGTGTGAGTGCTACACCCACTCCAGGGCGGGTAGCCTAAATACAATATAAGGAAAAGAGAGAGGCTCGTTAGCTGCCGCAGCCGCTGCTCCTCCCTTTGCTCTTTGCTGTTTTCCACCTCCATGAACGGCTGCGCTCTGCCATATGCCGCTCCACCTTGGAGCCAGCTGAGTATGGACTGAAATCTCCAGCAGGGGCGAGCTAAATAAACCTTTCCTTCCTTACTTGTGGGTGTTTGGTATTTTGTCCCAGCAATAAGGAAAAAGGAACTAAGACAATGGGGCAGAATTCTACCCATTCTTCTCCACTATATTACAGGAATGGATTATGCAAAATGCATTACATAACACGGCAACTATTTTCATATGTCAGATAGTTAAGTGTCAGCGAGTGCTGAAGAGTTTTCCTGAGGAGGAACAGACATATTTCTCCTTCTTTCTTTTGCTTTCAGCTTCTGATAAGCTGTTTAAATTTACAGAAGCTTATTTTGCTAGGTTTATAGATTATATTATCTAAATTAAAGTAAACCTCAACATAGATGATTGGTGTTTTTAAAATTCTACTTAGAAGCCATCAATTAAAAAGGAATCTAAATGGCAAGTACAAGTGGCCCAGGAAAGAGCACCCAACGCTGTGCCCTCCCATCCCCCACCTACAGTGCCAGCTTTTTCTCAATCACACTCGCTTGTGCAAAGATAACCCAGTTAGACCTGGGAAGTTCACTATAATTTTTCAAAGTTATCCACAAAACTCATTACACCTACATTTTTAATGGTGAACTCTGCTGTAAAGTCATAGTATGACATGAGTTATCAAAAATTATTTCATATTTTTCATCATTTAAAATTCATTTTGGCAATGTTTCTAGTGTACATAATTTTTTTTTCTGTATTTTTAGGGAACGGTCTAGGGGGTGTTCAGGGTCTCACTACTAGGTCAGACTCATAGTGATTCTCTTGTTTTCAGCCTCCCAAGCGCTGGGATTACAGGCATGCACCACCACACCCAGTCTCAACAGCCTTGTCAGCATGCCCCCAGGGGCAGGGCCAGCACAACAAGCCCTGGGGATCAAACCCCCAGCCCCTGCACCTACTTGCAGGTGCTTTACTCCACTGAGCTATTTGGCCAGCCCTGGTGTACATAACTTTTCAGTAGTCATGGATATATCATTTGTTTTTAAAAGGTGACAAACAAATCTATATTAATAAATCACAACTAGATCTTGCTCACAACTAGTGGCACACTGCCCAAATCCTTTGGAGACCACTTCTCACTGACCACTGGCCCCACAAAGTAATCAACTCCACCTTGATAGTGTTGCTCACTGCTGTCAGCTTCCAATCCCTTTCCTCCTGGCTGTGGTCTTTCCTGTCACCTTTGTAGATGGATACCCAGGAACCATGATACACATTTGTCCCCACAATGTGCACCCAATCACTCCCTTACCCTGTGACATTAAGCCTGGGAACTTATCAGCACAGGGGCAATACACTGCATGTCTGCTAACAGGACCCAGAAAAGGAGATAAAGTTCTTCCAAATTAACATAAAAGCAGAAATAAAGCAAAGAAATCGTCTAAAGCAGAAGAACCCAATGACTGTGATGAGTAAGCACGTAGCTAGAAAGGTATTTTATAATAAAAGGCATTTTGTAATAAGAGGTGTTCTGATTTGTGGCAGAAAAGAGATTACACGTATCTATCCTGTTGTTACATCATATTACTGCAAATATGTTAACATAATGTGATGAAGTATTGTAAGACAAGCTACATTACAATGGAGCAGTCTTATCTGCTCATCTCAGTTGTATTCATTCCTGGAATGTGAAAAATGAATTTACATTACAAATGCACGGTTTTCATCTTACCCCTCTGTTGCTCTTTAATCACATAACAATTGTCTTGTTAATGAATCTAAAAGCTATTAACATGGGCTTCCCTTAGGCCCTGGGCTGTGCTTTTGCATGTGTGGTTTCTTGCTTCTCCTCCTGATAGACACTTGTTCCCCTTGAAGCTGTATTTACTGCCCAATTCCAAGAAAAGCACCCTCCAAGGACATGAAATATTATGGTTGTCCAGTCTCTTGCTAAGTTCCAGATCCAAGTAGAATTTTTTTTTATTTATTTATTTTTTTTTTTTTCCAGAATCAGGAATTGAACTCAGGCCCTTGCGCTTGCCAGGGAAGCGCTTATTCCACTGAGCCATCTCCCAGGCCCCAAATTGGTTTCCTTTTTTTTTTTTCCAAGTAGAATTTAAAGCTAGGTCTTTCAGTTATTAACAGTAACTATTTTCAGGGGGAAACAAAAAGTTAAAATTCTTGATGCACCCATGTTTATGTGTAGGATTTAACCTTTTCTTTTCCTGTAATTGTGAATTCTGCAACCTTGTGATGGTTTTCAATCTAAATCTCTTTGGACCACAAAGAGAGGGTTTTGAGATACGAAGGCCAGAGATTAATTGCCTTTTAGGTGAATGGAAAACCCACAAAATTGCCCTATTTTGGTCTGACAAAAGAATATATGAAAACAGTATTTGAATTCATACTTTAATGCATTGAAGACTGAAGACTGCCAACTCTTTTACTGCAGACTGTGAGTCCAGCTCTAAGTTCTGTGGGCTGTCATTATCTCTGTGGTGATTTCTGCTTTTATCTAACACAGTAACAAGATCCCTGACCTTTCCCACTTATCAGAACCAGTCTCACAGTCTCCAAAGCCAACAGGCATTAAACGCATATACCCTCTTTCTTTTTGATAGTGATAAAAATCCTAAACTCTAGAATGTCTGATAATAGACTTTTAGGGGTCTTTTGTAATCTTAGAAAGAAATAACAATTACTTTATCCAAGAAAATAAATACCAGCCTAACCATTTTTATAAGAAGCCAACGATGAGCTAATAATGAACTACATATAGTCTACCTATCCTACCAACTTCTATTCTTTATTTTATGTGTTTAAAGTTTATTTCCCACCTAAGCAAAATGCACGCATAAGGAATTCATGTCTCCGAAGTCCACTTGTTTCATAAACAAGACGGACAATTTAAATTTCATTAAAAATTTGCAGGATAAATTGATGAAATTGGCCACTGATCAAACACAGATTGAAGATAGATACTGGAATATTTCCTTCTTGTATTTTTTCCATAAAGCTAATTTGTTATAAAAGAAAAATTTCTTAAATATATTTGTCACATTTACCCCCTTCTACTTTGGAGCAATGAAGCCTAGGCGGATACAAAAGTACCCCTCATCAGCCCAGACTTCTGTTCACTGTTCCCCATAGAAAGAGGAAGAAAATAAAGACTTACTGCACAAATCAAAGATTGAGCCTATACAACTTCTAATATTTAACAACATCTAACAGTCTTAGTATACATAAATTGGGGCCAGTGAGATAGCTCAGTGGACTAAGTGCCTGCTTAGACAAGCGCAGGGATCAGGGTTCAATCCCCAGCACCACATGTTATGAAAGCTCACCACACCCCCCAAGGAATGCTGAGCCGGCCACTGAGACTGAGTGTGGGGACACATGCCTATAATCCCAATGCTGGGAAAGCTGAAAACAGGAGGATCAGTATGAGTCCAAGCTGCAAAGTGAGACCCTGTACCAAATACACAAAAATAAATTAATTAATTTAAAAAATGCATAAATTAAGAGATGCCATTTTCCAACAAATCAAAAGCAATTTCTTGGGGTTCACTGTGTCATTTAACATTTATACTTCGTTTTCAGTTCTTTTTTTATTTTTTTAATTTTATTGAGAAACAAATAGCAATGAGACAGTTTCAAAACTAATAGGACAGTTTCAATAATTAATATATTGCAGGATATCATGTCTGCATTTTGTACTATGAATAACCACTACGAATATAACAATTATACTTCTGAAGGGACAACATTTGTCACTGGAGTGAGGGTCAAGTATGGTGGATAAATACAGATCACTGATTTTTAATAAGGAAAAGCAAGAAATTGAGTAGCAATAACAAGGCCAAGAAAAGGAAGCTCACAAGACTCTAACTTACTTGTAATAACAGATGTCATGTCCTGTCCGTATCCAGGTGGGCCTTCCAAGAAGAGCCTCCCTCACAGAATACAGGGTCGGTTGCATCCCTGTGTAAAATCAAAGCAGAACTTAATCTATGAACAAAAGAAAAAAAACAGAAAGCTCATCGTCATTGGCTAAATAATGGTCCCTGTAGATATACAAGTCTTAATCCCTGGCAAGTGCAAAGGTTAACTGTATATGGCCAAAGAGTCTTTGCAGATGTGCTTAATCTTAGGATTTTGACATGGGAGGTTTCCTGTTGGCCTTAACTGTAATCACATCTTAAAAAGTAGATACAAAGGGAGATCTTAGTATAGTGAGAAAGCAGTGTGACTGAAGCAGAGAGAAAGACGTGAAGATGCTCTATTGCTGGCTTTAAGGACAGAGGAAGGAATCAGGAGTCAAAGAATGTCGCTCCTGCAACTGGAAAAAAACAAATGGATTTTCCCCCTGGAATCTCAAGGAAATAGAACCCTGCTGACACCTTAACTTTATCCAGGTGAAACTGATTTAGACCTCGAAGCCCCAGTACTATAAAAGAATACAATTGTCTTATTTTAAATCTCCAAGTTTATGACAACAAAGCCGTACAAAGTGAATACAAGAATTGAGGTTCACATTTTCTCCTCTCACAGCAACAAGAATTTACTTAGCAAGAAACAGAGGTAGTACTCATGCTCTGACCTATCTATGTGAGAATATTTATTCCTTATTCAAAACCACCCAATAAATGACTATATGAGCTAGCAATAACATGAGAATTTCTCAGGAATGGAAACAGTCAAAGTAAATACGGGCTGCTGGTTGGTCTTTAACTTTTGCATGTCTCCTTCAAAAGGGATCACAGATCAGGTATTCAAGAGAATTTAAAATTTCCCCAGAGTGTTCCAAGAGTATAAAACAGTGTTGTACAATTGTATTTTACTATCCTCCTATCTTATAACAAGTAGGTCAAACATTTGCTCTTGTGAGATTTAGGAGACAGAGAAAAGGGAAAGAAAGAAAGAAAGAAAGAAAGAAAGAAAGAAAGAAAGAAAGAAAGAAAGAAAGAAAGAAAGAAAGAAAGAAAGAAAGAGCATTCAGCATCTGCAATAGTTCAAGGTGGAGCCAGGGAATGAGAGTGTAGTGGGATGTTATTCATGCTATTAAGGTTCTATAGTTGAGTTACAGACCCATTTGTTACCATCCCCCATGGCAATATGATATGGGTTGGCCATTCTTTTGCCACTGTAATGCCAAAATGTATCAGTCTAACTTCAAATTTTCTGAAAACCCAAGCAAGGATCCTTATAAGATAGTCAAGAAGTGATAACACGTTATTATTATTGTTCATTGAGCCTCTAGTCCCCCTGAGCTCATACCATAATTGAACTGACTGTTGGGCTTCTCACAGTTGATGATGTTGAAGCGGTAAGGGATGGCAGCCCTCATGCCGCTCACTTTGAAGTAGAACCACTGCTGGTGCTGGGCACTGTTCACATCGGCATTGACCAACAGGTCATACTCAAACCTGAAAAGCCAGAAGCAAGAAAGTCTTCAGGGCAAATGAGTACCTATGGGTCTCAAGTTCTGCATTATAGATAAAGCATAGTGACGGTTCTCATCTCACAATATTGGAAGCGGGCTTGCAAATATGGGAAGAGAGAGCGGTCTTGATATTACATCACCGATACAGTGAAAGGATAGCTTGTAAAACTTCCAGCTAGAAAAATGAAGGTGTGAACTTTTCCCAAGAAAGTTCAACCACATCTGGTATAAATGTCTGATGTGTTTAAATCGCATCTGTTTGAATGTTTGAGTGTCACTACTGTCTGATTCTCAACACTGCTTTTGAGCCCCAGCTTTCTCATATGTGAAGAAAGTGTGTCTAAACTTATATTTGCAAAAATTAAGTAATACAAGGGATATATATAATTCCCCCAGCAAAGCAACAAACATGGACTAAACTAACAATGAACTGTGGGGTTTTTTTTTTTAATTTTGAGTGAGACACAATTTATGTGCAATTAACTGCACAAATCATAAATGTATAATTCAATTAATTTATTTGCACCTGGATGCACCTGGATGACCACTATTCAGTAGAGGACAATTCCAGCACCCTAAGAGGCTCTTGTCTGTTCCTTCTTGGCTGCCATGTTTCCAAAGACAATTAATTTTTTAAGCTCTCACAACACAATTTTCAAAGCAGTTTTGATATAAATATAATTATCAGGAAATTTCATTTTCAAATATGATTATCCCAGTTTGTTGGTGTTCTCATACCCCAAGAAGTTTGATTTATCTCTGTCTTATATGCTCGGCTTCTTGGAAATGTTTCGTGTAAGAATAAAAATTTCCTTTCACCTCCCCTGATAAAAGGAAACAAGAATGACTCTTTATTGTAGGTATTAAACAGGCCTGAGTTATACCAAGTTCTGAGCTCCAATTATGGTAAATATGTAAGCCTAAATAAGAGTTCATGTCCAATGAGTGCTTATCATTGCCAAGTGCTACTCTAGGAGCTGTTTGTACTTGGTTCTCCTACAACACAATGGAGTAGGTCCTATGGTTGGCCTCATATTGTGGGTGAGAAAATAAAGGCATGGAGTTAGTTGGGCACTTTGTTCAGTCTTCTGGCTACACAGAGGTGGCCACTACACCCTAAACTGTCCTCAGCCATGCTTATCAGAGGTTCACCCATTGAAGAGGGGTTGTAGATCTTGCCTTTTCTTATATGGGAAAGATAGTTCACTGGGCTATAAGTACATAAATTATATATAACTTCATAAGAACTTCTGTCACTGGGAAAACTAACTCGCTTCCTTTTAGTTTGTGTGTCACTAGCCTTGCCTTACCTATGAAATTCTTTTTCTATTAGAAAGAACTCATTAGTAGGTTTTTCCAGAAAGGCATGACACTGAACACTCACAGGAATGAAAGATGGAAGTCCAGAAATGATTTCCATCTCAACATACAGCTATGGGATCAACTGACCAAATATGGACCCATTATAGGAAAATATTTACATTTCCAATCCCAGTGCTTGGAAGGCTGAAAACAGGAGGATCAGTACAGTGTGATCAGTGTAGTTAGACCCGTAGAAAATGTACTAAATACATAAAAAAGAAGCCAATACATTTCTAGTGAGCAGTCCACCTTGCTGTAACATCAGCCCTTGTGTCCCCTATGGTAGCTGGTAAATGCTCAACCACTGACTAGAGAGGCAAAGCCTTCATTGTAGCACTTGCCATCTTCATGATGTGTCTATTCTCTTCAAGGCCGTCATCAAGCTCCCAGTGTGAGCTCACAGAACAAAAAATGAGGAAAACATTATCATAAGCTGCTTCTGGTGTCTGCCAGAATTGCCGTGCTGGGTTTCCTTACTTACTCACGCACTTGGATGGCTTTGCGAAGATTTCCTGACTCAAACTTAGAGAAGAACTGTAAGCAACTGGAAGCCTTGTCTTGAAAAGGCCTATAACAAAATACAGAACATGCGAAAACTTGTATTATTGCTGTTCTTCCACACCACTTAACATTTCTTTCTTTCTTTCTTTCTTTCTTTCTTTCTTTCTTTCTTTCTTTCTTTCTTTCGTCTCTTTGAGATAGGATCTCACTATGCAGTTCAGGTTGGCCTTGAACTCACTTTGTAGCCCAGGCAGGTCTTTAACTCACAGTGATCCTCCTGCCTCAGTCTCCCAAGTGCTGAAATGACAGACTAACCTTCCTTAAAGACAAGATTTTTTCTTAAAAATCTTTAACCTGAGTTGACATCATGCTGCTTCTAGGAATGGGTTACTGAGCTGAAACACTCCCATCCTTATGCCATTAACAAAATTCTCTGCACCACCCATTCATGGATGGCCACCACCTACCAAGGCTCATCTAAACTAAACACGACTCTGTTTACAAGATCCCTTGGCTGGACAAGCCTCCGGACATCCTCAGATATCTTGATCCTGAAAAAGAAAATTGGAAACATTTTAAGTGTCATCCTCACTCTCCAGGAAACACTCTTCAGTAGTCTCCTCATACTCATACTATGGGGTCCTGAAAAGAGCCTTGGAACTCATCAGAAAAATATATGAGAGAGAGAAGTTTAACCAGGTCCCAATCTTGGGCTCAAAGGATAAAAACAGCCCTGTCCTTTTCTTTCTGTTCTTCATTGAAAAATAAAACTACACTGTAATGTAGGTATAGAGAAACAAATGTTGGTATTTTTTAGCTAGACGATCATTGACTTGGACAAGTTTTTATAACAGCATGTGAGCTAGGGTACTATAACTGTTCTAGTTGTATTAACATCAGAGTCCTTTGCATTAAGACATTTTGTGGGAGGTGCTAAGATTATTTGCATTTTCTTTTTATTTTTTATGTATTTGGTACAGAGTCTCACTAAGCAGCTTGGACTTGTAGTGATCCTCCTGTTTTCAGCCTCCCCAGAACTGGGACTATAGGCATCTGCTGCCATGCCATTTTGGTGGCCAGCTCAGTGTGCCCGGGAGTGGGGCCAGTACAGCATGTGATGCCAGGGATTGAACCCCAGTCCCTGTGCTTGCCTAAGCAGTCACTTAGTTTGCTGAACTATCTCATCAGCCCTTATCACTTACATTTTAAAGGAAGACTCTAATACTGTTTTTTAGTCTTTGCATCCATTTTGAGGCCTTTTTACTCTTATGGTATTTATATTCCTTCTGCTGTACCTGCCCCAGAAGGCTGAGGTCAGTTTTCTGTCTTAAGAACAATACATAACAGATTCAAATAAGAAAGAAGAAGGAAGGGCAAGAGGTCTGCCAATTCCCTTCTTGAGCTTCCAATCAAGTTCTTGAGGGTGGGATGGGAGAATGGTGACAATGGGGTGGGCATGAAGCCTGGACAGGGAGGAAGGATGTTCTAGGCAGGGATAAAATTGTGCTGGATCAGCCCCTGAAGTACTGTACATTTCTCAGGAATCTGAACGTGGCAGCTAATGTACAGGGGATGAGGAAAGAGATGCCAGCCAAGTGAACATGTTGGAGCATATCCAGGGACCTATTACCTGGCATAGAGAGAACAATCTGCTGATCATACAAAATAAGTTAAAGAAGTTTTATGGTGTGCACGCTTTGTTCTGTTGATTTAGTATATGCACTCCCATCTTGTCCTTTAGGGAAAACTTTTTCCATGCCTCTAATAGCTTTCATTTTAATCTCACTAAGCTGAGTCAAAGACAAGGGTCTTTCCTTCCTGAATTCTGGAAATAACCTATCATTCAGTGTTTCTGCTCTAGAGAATAGTATTTGATTCTTTTCTCAACTTTTTTATTTATTTATTTATTTATTTATTTATCTGTTTATTTATTTGGTACAGGGTCTCACTACACAGCTTGGACTCATAGTGATCTCCTGTCTCAGCCTCCCCAGCACTGGGATTACAGGAATGCACCACCATGTCTGGGGTGAGGCCAGAATGGCATGTGGTACCAGGGATTGAACCCAGGTCCTTGTGCTTGCCACGCAGGCACTTAGACCACTGAGCTACTTCCCCAGCCCAGCCCCTTCTTACTGATATAGCAAAAACATTCTATACAACAACCCAGGGTCTGTAAGACTAGAACTGTGGAAAGAAAGTATGCCACCCCTTCTCTGTTACCAAAAATCCATATACAAATTGATCATACACAGAGATTCCTTTTTCTGAAAATCTTCTGGTGAGGAAAGACCTCAGAATTTGGAAAAGCTGCATGATCTTTCCCTATTATGATTTGCAATGGATACAAGGCAAATGGTTATATTAGTATATCCAAGCAACTCTTTGCCAGAAAACAAATACCTCCTACCACCCCACACTTGATTCTATAACATCCCAGGAAGGAGTTAAGTTTTTAGTTTTGGTAGCTCTTAAATCAGTAGCATTGTCACCTTTGAACTCCACGTTTGCGTTCCAACATAGACTGGGAAAAGGGGGGTGGATGGTGTCCCCAGAGATCAGGAAATGCTATCATCTTGAAATCCACCACAGATTTGGTTCTTCTGGCTTTGGCCATGTAAATATAGGGGTCATGGAAAGGAATATTCTTGCCACGTGTGTGTAGAAGCTTATCTAGTCTTGTGGAAATGGAAAAGAATGCATTCATCCTTGGGCAAGAAATGGCTTCTATGTCCTCCTCCAGAAAATCTTGTATATCAGAGATATCATTTCTAAGAGAATCTACCCCAAGGCCATTGGGGGGCACATGTTGGTATGTGCTCATGACAAGTCTTTTTTTGGAGGATGGATGTGCAGTGGACTTCCCCATCTTCACCATGCTCAAAAGAGATGTCTGGACTGTGTCTTCTCTTTGGTCCTTATTCAAGCAGTGCTGCTTTGAGGAGGCAGCAACCGGAATGTGGTGGTGATTGGCAGGCTGAAGGACTTCAAAGGTCAAATCATTTCCAGGCTTGGAACCCAGTTCCTTTGGGTGTAAAGTGGAAAAAAATGTGTCAGTGTTTCCTTCCCAGAGAAAGAACACAAGTTGATACCTGTCCTCACTCTGTAGACATAGAGCTAAGTATAAATCCTATGAACCAAGCAGAGTTTTGCAGGATCAGCCAGGGAAAGATTAACTAACTTTCAAGAGTCAAATTAATGACAAAATCATACAAATTCATGTTTGGAAGGCAATTTGGGTGGGTCAGGTCTAGTTCTGTACAGTTCATGAATGTTTTCTGAATCATACCCACTAAGTTACAATTTAATTCAATATATTTATTTATAGGACCTCACTGAAACTCCTTCCCTTCACCACGCTCTAAGATATTTTTGTTCTTTAGGATAATTATAATTGTTTTTTAAGTCTTCTTTATACTGAACTGAAATTTTCCTTCACAGAAACTATTACTATACTTCCTTCCTACACATGACTAACTAGTCTTTGATGTGTCTCATTTCTTATTAAGGGTCATAAGTAAATAAATGGAGATCAAAGAGCAAGTCTAAAATCTTATTATTAGCAACAGCAGCAGGCAGCAAGTAGGCAGTGGAGTACCATCACCAGGCCTAAGGTTCCTAGTTTATTTCTAGTAACAAAGAAAGCCCCAAATAAAGAAGACCAATTTTAGAAATCCATGTATGATGACTTTTCCACTTGGGTAATAGGACAATTGATTGATCAAAATTTTCACTTGTTTTTCAGTGCATGGAGCCAAGACACCCTGCCTGATGTCACACATGTGCACCTGCCTTCTAATTCCCCCCTACACATCAGACATTGGACCCTTGAATACACCCTAGATTGACCACTTTTCTCACATTTTTGCTTCGCTTTCTGCCTTTCCCTCAGAAGGATCCCAGGAGCTACGGAGGATGCAATGCTTTCCATCTGGATACCTCTGTTTGGCTTCCCAGGCTCTGCACAGAGCCCACCATGCATCTTCCCAGAGCAAAGCACAGCTCACACCCTACCTCAAAGTCACAGGACAGCTCAAGGCACATGGCCTCATATTGCTTCAGTTCCTCTTCAGGTCTGTCAAGACCGGGTTTGAAGTTCAGCTTTTCCATATCAGTTTCCAAGTCATCACCCTACAACAAAGTACCAAAAACCAGGTGACAATCATAAAATCCACACTACGAGCCATTACAACACTTCTTACATGAGCTTCAGAATTACAGGACATGGTTTCCTTGCCCTCGGATGATAATGCTAGCATAGACAGTGGAGAATTTACTATAGAGGATTATGTTTTCAAAACACAAAGAAAGAAAATGCATGACTTCTGTCAGCATTTATGTCAGTATTTATCAGCTCTCTTCAGAAATAAATAATAAATTGTATAAAATGAAATAGGGAAAGCAGTCAGGAGCCTGAGGAACACACTCCAGGTGCACCCGGCAGAGGCAGGTTGGGCGTACAAGTAATATTATCAAGATGCCAGGAAGTTCCAGTTCAAATTCAGGTTCAACTAGTTCCTTATCCTTCAGTGGCGTGGAGTCTGCTTTCTCCTTAAAAAACTTCCAGTCCTGTTTCAACTCTGGAACAGACAGTTTCTAGTGTGGCTTTCGATATTGTAGAGACTCAGACTGAAGTGAGTTATGAATATAGTATGGACAAGGCGATGGTTGAATTTGTCATAATGAATCAGAAACAAAATCATTATGTTATGGCTGTTCAGTCTGCAATAAATCATGTAAAGGAATGGCCAGAAAAAATACCTGATTTGAAATTATGAGTGGAAGAGAAATTTTTGGCTTTACAGAGTAAAAATTCTGATGCACACTTTCAAAATAATGAAAAATTTGTACAATTTAAACAACAGTTGAAAGAACTACAGAAGCAATATGGTCTGCAGGTAGAGCAAGGGGCTCATGGCAGTGAAAGGAGTTGATAAGGATGATGGTGACTCAGAGTCAGATCAACTTCATCTGCCCCATTACAAAGTTGGAAGTGAAGAAGCCAGTGAAAAATAGAGTGTGTGACCACACCTACAAAGAGGAAGCCAGTGTTCCCATGATTGAGTCCAAGCCCAAGTGGAAGAAAAAGGCCTGTTGCCCTAAGATTGGCTGTAGCCACACTGATATGAGAATGTCCAACCTCATCCAGGATGAAGCACTGAGGAGAGCAACTGAGAGCCACAACAAGAGGAGGCACCACCATTCTGAGTAGGACCAGGCCACCCCAGAAGCCAGCAGCCTGCCTCCTACCCCAGCCTGCCCTGGAGAGCAACACTTACTTATCAGGCGGACCCAAAGAGCTGCCCAGTATACTTTGGGATAAAACCTAATGATTTTCAATGTTACCAAAAGCAGTTTTTCAAGCTACACAATAACAATGTAAGCAAATGGTATTGTTTATGTCTGAGTGCTTTATCATTTTAAATAAAATTTTGATGATCTAGAGCAAAAATAAAATAAAGTAAACCATGTTAACAGTTGAGCGTGAAAAAGAAACTCTTACTCACTGCTGTCATTAACTTCATTCTAATTATCATAGCTGTCCATCTATCTACCTTTGCTGTTAATTCCTTTACTCTTTTCAAAAACATTTAATGAGCAATTCCTGTGAATAAATATGCTTCTAGATTCTAAAGAATCAGTAATAACAGAACAGGCAAAGATCCATGTTCCTGTGGAATTTGCCCTCTCATTAGAGAAGGAAGACAGCTAATAATAAACAATAAGGCCATTTCCAACAGTGATAAGGGCTCAGAGTGTATTATTGTGACGGAGATTGAGGTACGGCACTGGGTAACCTGACAAGTCCTCATGACGGCAGTGACAGGAAGTACATCTCCTGGTGTACTTCCTATGAGTACATGTCTGTCGGTGGTACAGTCAAGACCTAAGTGACAAGAAGAGCCAACTAGGAGAGCAAAGAATCAGCAGCAAAAGGAACAGTTTAAATTTTCTTATAGAAAGAAGGCGACTGAAACACAGACCCTAAAAGGAAGACTGTAAAAGATGAGATTCCAGAAGAGGCGGCAGAGAAATTGTGACCGTCCTTGAAGTCCTAGGGAACAATTTGTATTCCCCCACTATTTTACCTCTTTGTACATTGAAAACTTTATCAAGTTCCACAGTCTTTTCTCTGTTTAGTTCAATAATCCAAATCATTTTATTTTTTTCTTCTAGTTCATCTTCATATAATAGTTCAGGGACAGCAGTGCCTCTCTTCTTAACTCATGTATCTTTTATTTTTAAGGGTTCTAGAGTCTTCCAGAGAAAATACAACCAGAATCAAACAATACAGTCTCTTCACAGAATCAAACAATATAGTCTCTTTCCACACCCTTACTAAAAGAAGGAAAGAAATCAACTTTATGTTTTAGATGTATATTTGGTTACATAAGGAAAAATCTGTCTGTCCTGAAGACCTCAATCAAGTAAATGGGGAAAATAAATATTTCCATTTCTGATCCAGGAGGAAAAAAAAGAATGTAGTATTCTACCCATTTTACATGGTCCTTCAAAATTTCAGATGATAAGAAAAGTAAATCCCATGGGTTTGATTTAATGGAAATTTCAGGTTCAGTGTACTGAAGGCCCAAACTCCAGAGCTACCACTCTTGTCCATTCCAGCTTCATCTACCAGTCCCTGCTTTCTTCCAGGCATGGCTCAAGGTGGTTCTTTCAAGAGCACCTCCACCAGGGAGTAAGGACTCCTTCAACTGGTATGTCCCGGTTAAAGAGATAACCCAAGAGCTCCACCCTGCTCCATTCCACATGTGACTAGGTGACCCATTTAGCAAAGGTTAACAAGCTATGTGTCTACACTTGCTTTTGCAAATAAAAGTATTATTGGAACAGCATCACACACAGTTATTTACAGGTTCTCAATGGCTGCTTTCTTGGTCCAAGTCAAAGTAGATTAGTTGTGACAGACTTGTTTCTCATCTTCGAGTGTCTAGAGCTTGGTTTCTGTTACTCTACAGACTGAGCTGAACTCTCTCCTCCTCATGGTGCACTTCCTGTAGGTATGTGTCTGTACGGACCTGCTTCTGTGTCCTGCAACCCAGACAATCCTTTACCATCTAGGAACCTGATCTCACCTCCAACCCAGATAATGCTTTATGGTCCCTGCTTCTTAGTTTGGACCTCTTAGTTATTGACTTTTCCTTATCTCAGACTTGAGTTCATGTCTGAGGGTGCTATTTTGAACTTTTGTAGGGACAGCTCCTGGGTTCACTGCACTGTGAGCTGTGGGAGGATAAAAACTCTGCCTCATTTATCTTTGCATCATATTCTCCAGAACTTACCACATTGCACAGCAAGAAAGTACCTGGTAGAAAGAATAAATGTAAAAAGAAGGAAAGGAGGGAAGAAAGGAAAGGTGAAAGGGAGAGCTTGAATTCACTCTGTGTACATGCTTCTTCAGTTTATCCAAATCTATTATTTGTGTTCACGGAAAAAAAAAAAAAAAAAAAAAACAGCCAACATTTGGTCTCTCACTGTTGCAAATTTCCTTCTTTCTATATTGACCTTGACAGTTTTCAACCAAATCAAACCATTCAATATTGCATTCTCAAGGCTCTTTTACAGATAAAAATGTCTCTTAATCATTCTTCCTAAGAGATGTTTCCCAATTATTAGTTGAGATTTTCAAATGAAAATGTCACATGTTAGAGGCCTCAGTCGCTTCTATAAATGTAAAAAATACATATGCCTCAGGAGAAGATTCCATGCTCCTAGAATCAAAGGAAAATCAGGTTGCTGTAGTACCCACTCCCCTGCTCCAACCATACCCAGAGCCAGGCCCTGGTTCTGATGCTCCTGCAGTTTCTCTGCAATTCACGCTGTCACAGTGATTTCTAAGCTCCAGCTGGCTTGATGGCTTGAGGAATCCTTCCCAGCGCCTTCCCAGTCTGTCTTGTGGCTCTTTCCCAGCTGGGTTTGCACATAGGCTTTGGCTACACTGCACCCTACTCCCCCATCCTCTGCAGAGTGGGCACCGAGAAGTGTATCTGAGAGTCCTCCCTCCTACTCTGTGTGAAGTCGCACACTGCTGTATGCTTTGTCCCTCTGCATCAGATACAAGAGGCGACTGACACTACATCAGACATTCAGTTATCAAAGAGCAAGCAAGAGGGAGGGGAAAGTGGCAGTGATGAATGGCTGCAGCAGCCCAGGATTATTCAAATAATTCTGCACACACTCCATAGGCCTGTGCCACCCAGCCACGGCAAAGAACCAATTTGCTACTGATGACTTCAGAAATGATTCTATTTATCAACAAAACCCTGAGAGCACCAGACTGTCAATAGCAGTCTCGGCCCAGAGATAGGGCTAAAAGATAGCCCTTAAATGTCTGCCACCACATCAGCAAGGTGAGTGATGAGTGCAGTAGAGAGTTCAAGTCTCTCTCCCTTTAAGGAGGGAAGGATGAAGATAGGGCAAGGGAGTGAGAAGGAAGGAGGGAGGGAAAGACAGTTCTTAAATTGGGGTTTTATCCCCTGCAAAATGATAGAAGTAGGAGTTACTTTTACTTTGACCTAACAGAGGACAAAAGCAGGGAATTACAGTTTGAAAACATTTGCCCAAATCCAGGGACACTCAACAAAAATGAAGACAAAATTATACTTAGAGCCACATTATCATTAGTCAGAGGCAGTGGTTCTCAAATAGAGGTGAGTTTGATAATTACTGCAGAAGGTTCTAGTTCACAAATTAGAGCCAAACAGGTAGGTACTACTGTTATCTAGTGGACAGAGTCAAAAGCACTGCAGAACATCCCCCGGTGCACAAGACAGCCACAGCCCCCTGCAAGCAATAAATACGCAGTCAAAATGCCAATAGTGCTGAGATTTAGCCTTTCCATTGTCAAAAATCAGTGAGCAAACACTGTCCCATTGCCTATCTCATTGGGACACAGCCACACCCAATCAATCGTGCATGGTCAGTGGCCACTTTCATGCTACAACAGCAATTTGAACAGTCATGAAAAAGACTACATGGTGCGTGAAGCCTATAATAATTACTGGCTGACTTTCGATAGAAAACTTCCTGACCCCCGCTCTGTAACCCGGGCTATTATGGGATAGGGACTAAGAGCTCCCCTTCTGTATTAACCAGGCCATGCACCTTGCAACTCAGGAGAACAGTTCATCAGACATAAATGAAATTGGATGATGCTGCCTCCCTGTGTAGAATGTGCAGATAGGAAGAGTGATTTATGAAAATAGGTGAGCACTAGTAGACATTTTTTGAGAAAATCTTTTCACGGCTCAAAATGCATCCATGAAGTACACCAACCTTAAGCACTGAGTGTCTGCATAAAGCTCATCCTGATAGAATATTATAATCTTAATCATCGACAGCTCTAACTTTACAGAGAGACAATATCTAAATCTACCAAGATGAAAACATCAGCTGGGAAATCAGTGGCAGCGGTTGCGTTCCTGGAGCATCTCTGGCGTGACAGTGCTAAAGTGAATCCTTAAAGCTTTATCCTGGGCTTTGGCAAACCTAGGAAGTACTATTTCCTTTCCGTGGTGTGAACGTGGTGATCATGGCCGGTCAGGGCTAGTACACCTACTTGGTCTTTCACATCTTCCAAATCCGAGTCTTTGTCCATCTCATCACCATCATCTTCAAAATCCTCTGGATGGGAAGAAAAGAGATCAAATGAATGAGGGGGTGCCTGTTCCTGGGATTTAGATTCCTCAAGTCACGGGGGTGGGTATTTCTTTTTCTCACCAATCAGGGGCTCATTGTGTAGCAGCCCAACACAAACACACACAGGTATCTACTCCTATCCATCAGTGCGGTGCACACAGGTGCTAAGAGTACTGTATCATGAAGTCTTGCAAAGTCTCATGGAGGGCCAGGGAGATGGCTCAGTGGAATAAGCACTTCCCTGGCAAGCCCAAGGGCCTGAGTTCAATCCCCAGTTATGCAAAAAAAAAAAAAAAAAAAGTCTCATGGAGTCCACCACTGATTGCAAATATTACTCTGGTTTTTCTCCCACAGAATTTAAAAGTACTTATGCAACTAACATCACCAAAGTGTAGAGATCCTACATGTACAACATTTGTTATTTAACTTAGAAAACACCTTGATTGAGTCCCTGATTTTTGAATAAGAACATATGTTGGGAACGAAAGTCACCCAGTGTCTTTATAAAGTACCCACTGCCTTTGTGGGAAAATTATGCCTGTGGAATATCTGCTCCATGGGAAGAAGAGGGGGTGGTAAGCATTGGAATCTTTTGAGGGTAAGATCTGCCTGGAAATTAAACAGTCGCAGTTGCAAATGTTCCAATAGGAGAAACATGGCATTGTAAATAGCAAAAGTTTTATTTCCATTTTATCTTTAGGGCAAATTCATTCCAGCGAGTCAGTAGAGATGCTCACTCACAGGGTTGTGCATAGAGTTTTTTTTTAATTGGCTGAGATGACTGTGCAGGCGTTCGATAGCTATCAGGCAAAATGGCAACAGTTAATAATTAAGGATAAAATAAGTGATCTTGTTGCTTGTTTGCCCTATTTATGAAAAAACTGCTTTTTCATATACGTCTCTAATTAGCTTATTAGACCATCATGGTTGACCTGTAAAACAACGGACTCTACTTTTATGTGCCTTCCTCTGACCTAATTTTAAAATGTAACACTCAAAGCCCATGGCTATTTGCTTAGTTTACCTTCAGTCGCAGCACAGGTGGGTACAGAGTGGAGGCCCCCTGGGACCGGGAAGATGTAGGCACTGCAGGTTGTGACCAAGGGAAGAGGACGCTTGGGGTAGCATTGCCTCAGGATCTCAAGCAGAACTGAAATGACAGGCTCCATGCTTTCATCCTCCAGGCAGTTCTAAGCAAAGGGAAAATGTTATCAGACACCTATGTCTGCATACACATCATTGGCCATAAATTACGTCAGGCAATGAATTGAACACTGCTAAATGGACAGTAAACAGCATTAATATGGAATGTCTCATTTGAACATAGTCTAGTGTGGAATTTGCATTTCTATCTCTCTTTCATTGCTTATATGGCATTGAAATAAAATGTAGTCTGAAATTGGAGTTAAAATTATTTTAAGAGATGCTGCACCTAAGGAAAGATGTCACCCTGGACAGCTAGGGAAAGGGAAGGGGGACATCTTTCTGTGCCCATCCATATGTCACTGTGAATTTTTGCCTGTGTTAGGGAATGAGTAGCTAAATTCACGGAAGTCTTGCTTTTCTCTTTCAGCTATATTTGAAGAGAAAAATACGAAGGAAAAAGATAAAACACAAAATCAGGAGGAAAGACGAAGTGAATCCCATGTACCTAAATTAAACAGCCTGCCTAGTCTCAAAAGCCCATAGTGTTGATCCCCCTTGGTATCTGCCCAAAGCAAAGAAAAATTGGGTTTGCAGATGTAACATTTTGATACTGATGGAACATGACAAGATCCTTCTTTTCAGACACTGTGAAAAATGTAAGAACAAGTTTACTAAATTGAGAGAAAGAGTTGAGTATAGCTCAGTATCTCTTTGGCAAAAACCCTACAGTTTCCTTCAGCTCCTTAGTAAATGTTTTATGTACTGAGTTGGTAGACAGGTTTGACTAGTATGAGCCTCCAGTTTGATACAGTTAGTGGGTACAGCAAGCTCAGGAGTTGGTAAATAAATATATCTGCAGGAACAGCATCTCCACAAGCCACATGAATGTCTAGGGTGCCGCCACACTATGGTCCCTTCAGGCTCATATGCCATGATACATGATCAAACACAGAAAAAGCTAGATGAAAATTTAACCATAGATTCAAGCCACCTAGATGACTCGAAATATACATAAGCCCACTTTCAAAACAGAGTGTCTTAGAACAATCAGAAATGCATTCTTCTCTTCCTGTACTCTGTGGGGCCCATGAGGCATCTCAGGCCACACAGCAGGACACACTCCCAGCAGGAAATGAATTAGTTGGGGCTACTTCAGCCCTTGGCCTTGCCAAACAGGGTCAAATCTTTAGTGGAAAGTTATTAATATTGTAGAAGAAAAAAACAGGGTGTGAAAAAAAGGAGAGGGAATTTGAAGTAGATGTCTGATTGGAATAATGTTTGGAGCTTCAATCTTGGGAGAAAAAAAGCCAGGGCCAAACCAAGAAATGTGGGCAAAATGCCAACATTTTGGAACCTGGGCCCATCTGTGACTGTCACTGATGGTGATAAATAAAGTCTTGTTTTTACCATATGTAGGTGGTCCAGATGAAAAATGAGCAGAAGGATCAAGGCTGGGCCATACCATGAGCTGAATTTGGGGCATAGGAGTAGTATTAAAATCTGTAGAAAGCATTAAGGCATTGAGGACAGTGATATACCTGATCTGCTACATTCTGGAAGGAAAACTTGTGAATTTAATGATGACACATGATACTATGTTTGGGATCATAAATGTCCCCAAAGTCCATTTATTAAAGATTCATTTATCAGCTTGTATGCCTGCTGGGAGGTAGAACCTTTAGGAGGCAGGTCCTATGGTAAGAGAGGTAGATTATCAGGGCAGTGACCCCAAACGGGATGCTGGAACTCTGGCCACTTCCTTCCTCTCCTCGCTGTCCTCTTAACCACCATGAGTGAGCCACCGCCTTTGCCACATGTTGCTCTCAGGTCCAAGAGCAATAGGGTTGAGTGACTATGCATGAAAACTGAGCCATGATGGATTGTTTTTCCCTTTTAAGGTGATTTTCTTTTTTCTTTTCTGAACCAGGGATTGAACTTGGGCCCTTGCACTTGCCAGGCAAGTGGTTATTCTACTAAGCTATCTCCCTGGCCCCTTAAGGTGATTTTCTCTGGCATTTTGTCACAGCAATGAAAAGAAAGCTGAATAACATACAAGGTGTGCCAGCTCATCTTGACCATCAATCTGATTGGATTAAGAAATTCTGCGAGTGGTCTTGGAATTATGAGGGCACTAACTTCATCAGTGTGCTAACCCCTTAGTGAGCTCATGGATGAATGAGCTCTTAGAAATGGATTGCAAGGGGCTGGAGAGATGGCTCAGCAGAATAAGTGCTTCCCTGGCAAGCATAAGGGCCTGAGTTCAATCCCTGGTTCTGCAAAAAAAAAAAAAAGACTGCAAGAACATGATGGGGGGGACTATATTGTGTTCTGGTTTCTTCTGTCTCTTACTCTTCTCTCTGATTCCTAGATGTCATGAATTCAGAATCTTTTCACCATCACAGCAGTCTACATGTTGATTCTACTTGTAACCAGCTGACCATGGACAAACATCTCTGGAATCATGAGCTAACAACACACCTTTTTTCCTTCAAATTGTGAGTGACAAGTAGGTTGTGCTGGTAGAAACTTCATAGGTCCACTTGTCATCATTCTCTCACTGTTAATGCATAGGAGCTATGCAGAGCCAGGAAAGCAGAGGGTAAAGGAAGTGCCAGGATGCAAATGCAGGAGGAATTTGCTTTCAAGCTCCTACAACTGCAGGGTTGATATTGCTGCAAGTGTCATAGCATGACAAGCCTCCAATGAATAGAACTCCTGGAGACAAATGCCTCAGAATTGGAGCCAAGGATAAGACGTTTAGAATCTTTTTCCCCATTACTCCCAGTCTTATAGCTATTACTTAGACGGGATGATAAAATATGAAAGTTCTTTAAACAGTGTTTTATCATAATTAGCATCTTAGAATTAGCTTTGGGATGATAAACACCCTACAACTGTGATGCCTACGCAGGCCCACATAATAGACAATACTTCAGCACCTAGAGCCTGACCACCTGATTCAAATCAGGGCAAAAGGTAATTAACTATATAGCCATATACCCCAGTTTCCCCATCTGCAAAATGGAGATAACAGAACCTGTCTAGTAAAGCTAAAATTGAATTACATGTGTTGAAGTGGGCAACACATCTAACAGGCCTCAGTAAACACTAACTCCGGGGCTATCAGAAGCATCATCAGGTTCATAAAATATCATATCATAAGAATATGGGAGCACCTCCCCTGATGCCTGGAGCACAGTCCTAGTAATGATCTTCACAATGACAGTGAGGCACTGAAATGGCAAAGGATTCCAACTTAGGGTCAGAAGTCAGAGGTCCTGGATTTCCAGTTCTGGTTCTAACTAGCTGATGCTATTGTCCTCTCCTACCAAACAACTATAAATAGTTTAACTCTTCCACTTGATACCACTTCTTTCTCCTCACGCCCTCTGATCATCTCCTCTTCAAGAAAGGGCCTTTAAAACATAGATCAGTTTGATGGGAAAAGAATTTATTTGCAATATGAGATGAGTTCTGGAGATGGCTAAGTGGTGATATGGTTGTACGATAATGTACTTAACCATTGAGCTGCACAATTAAACACAATTAAGAGATGACTTTTATATCATTTGTATCTTACTACAATTTAAAAAGTCTTTAATTCAAAAAGAAAAGGCATATATCACATTGGGACATTTTTTTGCTTCAAATCTAGTAGAAATATAATGTACAATTATTGTGATGGCCCAGCAAGCTTGTGCCAATCTGGCTTTCTCTTTTTTTCCCTCTTTGCCTTTGGTGCCTGTGTAGAAATGTGATGGGAATAAAACTTGATTTATTCAAGTTTGCCATGTGGTGTTTGGGCAAGTTCTAAGTGGCATCTCCCCATCTCTGCTTCCAGCTCCGCCTTGTGTCTTACCCTTTTATCCTTCAAGCTTCTGCCACACCAACTTCTCTATTTCTTGAGCTCCCACCACTCTTATTCCCCCACCACCACCCAAATGCCTTTGTATTTGTTAGTTTTTTCTTCCCAGAGCCCTTTCCTCCAGCCCTTCACTGATTCCTTATATCATTCAGGTCTGAGACCAGAAGAATCATGTCATGCTCTGACCCTGGTTTGGGGTGACTTTCTCCCCCATTTTCTTTCAGGTCTTTCTGAACACAGGTGGGTAAATTCTAAGGTTCAGAGAAGAAGTGGTAGTTTAGTAGTATGTTCCATGGAAATGCTTCTGGTTTGGGGCCTCTGGTTCACTCTCTTTAATGTCTTAGTTGCTCCAGTAGGACCACACTGTCTCCCTCTTCATCTATACCTAAACATCATTTTCTTCTGTTTTCAAAATAGGTGCTCCCGCTGAAATAGGACTTTCTTCTGGAAGCTTCTCCACTCAGCCAGGACTATACAGGGCTCTTCTTCCTCTCTGCACAGTTTTGCCAATTCCACACTTACATCTCAGTTGCTGTCATTGTCCTCACCTGCTTTTCCCTATAGGATGATCAAATTCCTGAGAGGGAGGGGTGCTTCCTCTATCACTTTCATCTCTGAACCACCTATGTAACCTTAGGCCCAACAACTTCACAAACCAGGACTCTGAAAACATTTACTGAGTAAATACATGAGCTCAGGCCAACCTGACCTCCAGGGTAACCAGCTCCTCATTCCAAGTTGGTGGCCTCCTGCTGTGGAGACTGCTCTTCATGGCAAAGAGGATCCAGATGAATCAGAATTGAGGATTGGCCTGCAGCCTCTTTCTGGGCAAAAGGTGGCTGTAGTGATTTTTCAAAGGTTACGTTGCTGCTTACGCTAGTGGTTCTCGAGGTGAGATGCCCACATCAATACCATCAGCATGACCTAAGTCCTGATGGGAAATTCAGTATCCCATACTCCACCTCTGACTGACTAAATTCGGTCCTAGAGAAAGGGATAGAAATTTATTTTAACTTCTAAGTAATTCTGATGCATGCTCAATTTTGAAAACCACCAACTTTAGCAACCCGTTAGTCCTCCTAAGATGTTATAGCTCAAAAAAATGGTCCCTTTCTCTAATTATTTCATATAAGGTTGTTCCTTATGTGAACAACTATTTCTCCAAATGATAACTACCTCATACTATTTCAGGGAATTCTCGTAAGGTTTCTTTGCTTTTTAATTTTATGCTGAGGTTATCCTCCTTTCTCTTACTTCATGCAAAGTGCCAACAAGGTTGCACTACAACACACAGCATCCTCTCTGTCTTATAAACAGTCTTAGCCTTTGGATGCTTACGGGATGCTCACAGTGTCTCTGCAAGTATTGTGAGCCAGGAAGCAAGGGGCTGAGCTCATCAAGAGAGAGGTGCTGTGTACAGTGCCCTCAGCAGAAAGACAAAGAACAACAGGGTGGGCAAAGGCTACACGAAGGACAAATAACAATAGGTTTTTCTCAATTTCATGCCGAGTAGGCTTACAAAGACGTCATAAGTGGCCACACAAGCAGTAGGGAGGGTGGTCTGCAAAGCGTGATTTCCAAGCAGCCTCAGCAACATCACTAAGGAACTTGTCAGGCTTGCAAATTGCCATGGGCCGCCAAGACCCTCTGAGACAGAAACTCTGAGGGTAGAGCTTGGAACTTGTGTAAGGGGGGCCTGCAGGTAACTGTGACACATGCTCAACTTGGGAAACTCCTAGTTGAGTCAGCAAAAGCAAGACCTCTCATGCAAAATCGCCAGATTCGAAGTCTGGCTTTGAGGAATTAGATAAATTACTCCACATTGTTGTGTCTCTATTTCTTCATCCATGGATTAAAGATAATGAGATAGCCTACCTAAAAGCTTTGTAGAATATTAAAATTGAATAATGTGTAAAGCCCTAAGTTAACCATGTAAGAGCTTAATATAAAGCAATCATCTTCTCTTCCTTCCTCTTCCTCTTCCTCCTCTGCTGCTGCTGCTGCTCCATTATTATTATCATTGTCATCACTGTCCTCATTACCACCATCCTTAGCAGCAGCAGCAGCACTTGCAAAGCAACCCCAACAGCATCACCAGGTCCATGCTTCCCAGCTAACCAACCAACAGCTCCCGTGCTTTCCGTAGAAGGAGAAGAAGGAGAGATGATGGGCAGCCTAAACTTTAGCGCAGCTACTGGGGCTTGTGTGCTCAGAGGCTGGGAGGCTACTGAGTGATTCTGCCAGGAGACAGTAATGGGCCATTAGGTTTCTAGGCCAAAGTAGTGCATTTCACACCTAAAAGGAACATTAAAAAAACCAGAAGCATAGCAGCTACCAGACTTTGCACATGAACTGGATAACATCTCCCCTGGGAGAACACACTACTTAAAAGACTAAAAGCGAAAGAAGAGAGTAGTGGGGGCCGTGAGAGATTCTGCCCTTCCAGTCATCACCTACACTTCCTGTACACTCCTGCATGTGACAGCCATAGTATACAATGGCTAATTCACTCAGCAGACCCTCCTGGACTTGTGTTTCCTGTGATACCAATAGAGATTAGAACACGAGCTTCAGAAACCTTACCATAAGATGCAGATTCTGCCTCCAATTATATCCAGATTCCATTCCCAACAGTAATTGAAGTTCGAGAGCTCACTGTAATTTGCTTAATTTAACAGTTTGAAGTCTTCATTGACCTGCTGGGGAACTGCTTCTGAACCTTGTATATAGGCCTATCATCCCTGAAAAACCTGGGCTTCACTTAGATTTTTTTTTTTTCATTATATTTGTATAACCCTCTGGGATCACCAACATTTCTCTTTATTGTCCCTTTAATTGTCTTTTATCACAGGGCAGAAAACAGCCAATAACACAGAGGGCAGAAGTGCTGTGTGGAGCAGACATGCCGAATGGAGATTGCCAATGTTAGTAATATAAGGGAGTATTTTACAAAGACGAGAGAGATTAGAGACACGCAAGACCACATGCTTACAAAGCATGGGGAAGCTTGGAAAGATTCATAGCATTTCTTTATCCAGAAATACGGAGTGTAAACTATTTCATGACTGAGAATCTCTGAAAGCTGTAATGACATCGAGAAACCCAGAGGTGATAGCAGACAGAAAATTAGATCTTGGTTTGCAGCACAGTATTGTGTTATTGTTTAGGAGGGAAAACAGCCATTCTTTAAAAAGAAAAAAGTCCTCCTACACTAAGGTTGGAAAACAACACTCTGGTTGGCTGCTTCATTACCTGTGGATGTACTCAGAGAAAACCTGGGGTATCCAGAGAGGAGCAATGTAAACAGAGATGGGCAATCAGGAAGACAACAGAAAATAGAATTCAGGTTAAAGTGAGCAGAGGAGGAGGACTGAGACACTCCTGCCACCAAGAGAAGGTATATGTAGCCTTCAGTGCTGCTGTTTACATTAGCAATAGTTCAGTGGAATTCATTATGTAAGCTGAAGCTCTGGTAACCCTGGACCATACATACTGTGCTGGTGGCAGGTAAGTGGCCCTGGACCATACACATTCTGCTGGGGTGCAGGTAAGTGGCCCTGGACCATACACATTCCGCTGGGGTGCAGGTAAGTGGCCTTGGACCATACATATTCCGCTGGGGTGCAGGCAAGTGGACTTGGACCATACATATTCCACTGGGGTGCAGATAAGTAGCAGCCCTAGCAGGTCCTGCTCCCTTTGTCTGAGATGCGTTTCCCTTTATACATGGCATGACTAGCTCTTCAGTCACCCAGGTCCTAGCGCATCCATCACCTGCTCAGAGAGTAGATTTACTATCTCTAGAAAATCATCCTCTCCCTCCACCTGGGGGAGCCACCTTTACTTTGTTGGGGCTCATGGAGTAATATGCAAATACCTTCTTCAACAGATTTGGCTTCTTCGTTAACTTCATGTCTGTCACTCCCCTGCTAGGATATTTGCCCCATACGGTCCAGAATCTTCTCTATCGTATTCACCACTAGATTCCTGGCACTAATTATCCCAATGACTGCCCATGCACAAAAAGTAGTTAAAATATGCCAGAAGCTCTTCTGAGCACGTTAACTTGTTTAGTTCACACAACAAGCTAGATGTTTTATCCCCACTTTTTCAGAAAACACAACTTCAGGCATAGGGGAAGTTGGACAGCTTCTCCAGAGTTTCAGAGCTGGGGCCACTGAGGCTGGAAACCGCACTCAGGTTCCCAGGTCCACGCTTTTAACCAGCATACCATTCTGCACTTCTTGGAGTGTTCATTCAATAAATATGCATGAAATAAATGAAGAATTGATTCATAAGGGACTGGATGAATGAGGATTTGAATACAGAATGCCTCCCATCATAAAAAGCAAGAAACGTGTTGAAGTTTGGCCAGCTCTGCTCAGGAGGATTACTGAACGCTAGCCTCCAGGAGTCATCCAGCTGCCAGGTCCCAGCTGCAGAAGGCATCCAAGGCTGCCTACCTGTGCAATGCTGAAGAGCGTCTCCATGCCATGGGCTGCCAGGAAGGCCTCCCTGCCAGACACCAGGGTGGTGATGCGCTTGAGGCAGAGCAGAAGTCCACGGCGGATCAGCACATGAGAGTTGGCTGTGTCACGGCTGTGCCAGTCCTGATGCAGCCTGAGTAAGCTGGTGACATACCCTCTGTTCACTGCCCTGCGGCTGTTTGACCCTGGAGACAAAGGGAACAAGCCATGTCAGTCACAGGCTCCCTGGAGCACACCTGTCTCAGAGGGTGGGTCTCCTACAAGGCATTCAGGAATTATAAACAGAATAGTGACTGCTCAGGAAGCAATACTCACAGACATCACCTTCATCCCTGGATCCAAGTCCGCATCACCAGCAACGGGACAAACACGTAAGGTACCCTTCAAAACACGCGCTGAGAAAGACCCAGACTCACTTTCACAGTATTCCTGCCAAAGCTTCCTGAACTGAGTAAATTCATAAGACAAATCAGCAAACCCAAAATGAAGGGCATGCTATAAAATATCTGACCTATATCCTTCGCAAATGTCAAGATCATAAAAGGCAAGAAAAAAAAAAAGAACTGAGGAATTGGAGCTAAAGGAAGCTAAAAAGACATGACACCTAAGTACAATATATAATTATAAATTAGTACCATGCCAGCAAACAAATTTTTCCTTGTGCTATAGAAGGCATGAGTGAGACAACTGGTAAAGTGTGAGTAACATCTGGTCTGCACATTAGCGACTAACACTGCATCAACATTTATCTTCAGATTTTGATACGCTAGGGTTATATAAGAGAATGTTTTGAGAAAATTCAGACCAGGAGTTCTTGAATGAGCAAATTGTTCTCAGGAAAAATAAAATGTGGTATTGGGGAAGGGGACAGGGAGACAAAGAAATAGAGAGATTCCCCTTAGATTTCTAGTCTTCTTCCCTGAATGTCAATAGATCTAGATATCCATTGCACAAAGAAGGCTAGATAGGAAGGAAGATGGAATAGGACCTGCTACCTGCAAAACTGTAGTCTGCAGATGCGTTGCAGTCTTTGGAGCTCCCTGCAACACTTAATGGGCCCATGTCTGCTCAGGCTAACTCAGAAGGGGGAAGGCCACTAAACTCCAAGGAATCCAAAGTTTTGAAGACAGAATGCCAGATCAAGCCGAAGTAGACCACACAGGGACAAGGGATTTCTGCAGGGGATAGTCAAATAAAAATTAATTATCAGCCAAATTGGTACCATGGCTTGCCTGACTTCCTACCTAAAAAGGACATCTCCACCCAACAAAACTATGCCTTTGTTGCTTTCAAGAAACCTGGGGGTCTGTGCTAGTTTAGGGCTTCACTCTACTCTAGTGAAGACCCCTAGCAACCTTCCAGACATTCTCTGTTTCCCAGCAGGTGTCATAAATTGTTTAACATACTTTATGCCTCAACTTCCACTTGTCTAACTTAAATGCTTGAAATCCCACCATACACTATAATTATTGGCTTCAGGGAAACTTCTGCTCCCCAGGTGATGTTCAGATATGGTCCACTGTCTCCTCAACCCACAGACTAATGTCCAAACCATCTATAGCAGCCAGCCAGAATAGAATCTAATGATCAAGCTCAGAGCCATTAAATGAGTCCTCACTTCATGAATATTTAGCCAATCCACAACCACAGCAGGAAAACCTAAGGACTTTCTCAAAGGCCTAGTCTCATAGGATCACCTTCTCTCTACCTTTGCTTGAACTTTCTCCAGAATTTTCAGGAACTCTTGTAGGAGCCCCTCTTCTCTCCAGAATCTGTAACTATAAAGTGCTTTGGCTTTGTAACCCATTCTGTTGTGCTGCCTCCTGAGTCTCACCTGTCATCACCCTGGTCAGTACTCTCCTAGAGAGTAGCTGTCCTGGCTTGTGATTAAATTAGACCAAATTAGAAAAACAATCACAACAGGATGGATTGGCTTCGGCCAAGAAAAAACTCTCCACAGATAATGCTACTGAACAGGAGGATGGACTGCACTGAAAATATTTGGGAAAAGGTCATGAGTTCATCCAATAGGATCTCTTGTGGAACTTCCTTTTATCTGCTGAGAAGTTTTAACCAAGAGCTTTCAGGGTCCCCTTGATACCTTCAATACCATGATTTTCTTGGGTCATGTTTATACTCCTGGTAGAGACCTCCCATAACACCCTATCTTATGGAGCTAATTTTTCAAGATATGATTTAAATTATCATTGAAGAAACATATGGGCAAGAACTGTCTAACATACCTGCTTTTCATCTTCCCCTTACTGAATGACTGGGTATCGCGCCATTTCAGACCCATCCAGCAGCTGTTGGGTCACCTGTGTTTCTAAAGACTGGGTGTACTCCAGGGCTCTAACCAATGTACTGTTGACCATAAATCCCCAGATATTTCAGCCCTACTTTCTCAACACTGTGTTCCTCCATTATCCAAACCATTCTGCTCAGTTTAAGAGACAATCTGTGCTTCTGGTCCCCTGTGTGTGAGGAAGAAGCAATCCCTGAGCTTTAATCAGATAAGCAAAATCTCCCCTCAAAGTCAAATTTGCTCTTAGCACCATGTAACGATACATGAATAGAGGGAAAAGACCATAGAAACCCAATGCCTTATTCCAGCGGGATTTTCTTTTAATATTAATGGAATATTTTTTGCTTGTTTACAAAATTCTAAGTGGTCAGGCCTCACTGAGCTCCACTGAGAGTTTTGGCCCATTTGTGTAGTTGAATTCATACATTCTTTTCTTCTTTCAGCCTTCTATTCAGCCATGACCCTGAACTGATCATGATGAGCCTCATGCACCCAGGGATGTGTTTGTGGAAGACTTAAATCGCCTTCATTACCTCCTTTAATGAATTATTCGTCTGTATCAAAAATATTTCTCTTCTTGGCTGGTCCCAGCCACCAAGCACTAGAATTCTTTATTGCCTAAGTGATGTTCCAGCCTAGCCAATATCTGATGCTTAAATGAAAATTGAGGATTAAGTAGGAAGCATTAAAGCAAATGCCTTTAAAGGAAATGCCTTTTCACATGTTGAAAAGGAACCCAGAAGGCAAACACAGTGCCCTGTCCCCATGGACAGTGCAAGGTCAAAGACTTTGGTCTTTTATCTATTTTAAGGATATGAGTCTCATAATGTTATCCTAATGACCTTCACCCATAACTCTTTTTTTTTTAGTGAGGAAGAGAGGAAATGAAAAACTAATCTTTAATTGTATGAGAGAAAACTCCCTTCTCAACCCCCAAAGATTTTATTCCTGATGTTCCTGTTAATCCCCACCAAACTGTCATGTTTACTAACATCCAAAACTGCTAAACCCCTTCCTCCCTGGCCCTACATCAGTCAATCCTCCACGAATGGCTCAGGAAGTCCTGTAAAAGTCAATACATGTCTAACACCCACCAAGAAGAGATGCATCAAACAGAAGAAGAGCAAACGCGGAGAATGGAATGAGGGCTGCTGCAATCAGCAACACAGAGGATGATCTGTGGGGTCTGGGAGGAAAACGCTATTCCTCAGAGCAAGGGAAATCATCGAGGATCAAGGGAAGTTTTCTAGTACTGTCACAGGTGAGCACAGAGTTTGGGAGTGGAGAGGGAAGCTCCAGTTTGCCTGCCCTGTTCTAAACAGGCTTCTTCCTCAGTAATTGGGTGACATAAATGGCTTTTTCCTAAGATTTTCTTGAGTATATTATTCCCTAACACCTGCCTCGCCTCTTGGGCACTCTCCCTGCTTTCTGGGGAGCCCTAGGCTCTAGCTTCCAATCCCTGTAAGCCTCTTGGTAATCTCTTCTTTGGCCTGATTTCCTCTGGCAAGGCTATGAATAATAGGGGGAATTTATTTTTTTTCCCCTCATGTCCAATTCAACCTATTCTTTTTTTTAATTTTATTGAGAAACAAATACCATACATTTATATGCACAAGATGGGCAAGGCAATGGTCCTGAGAGTTTTCAGCAGCTTTTTGAAACTAGCAGTTAATTGGTAGGATTCTCACCCTGACTAGCTATATATGCTGATACCTGCGTACCAAGCAAATGCACTGAAGAGAGCAATGTGTAATGCTAGGGCCATGCTTGGAATGCCGGTCATTCTGGTCTTCTAAATATGTACTACTTCTAATGTCATATCAATTACTGCTTTACTGTCTCTTAAGTAAATATTTGTTTTTAAAAAAGGGGGGGTAATGAAAACAAGAGACAAGAAAACAATTCAAACTTTTCTATTTGTGTTCTTTCTTCCACATTATGTCCTCTGAGAAGCTCACGTGTGGCTACTTCTCAATCTGAAATGTGGCCTAGTGATAGCTTTATTCTAACAAGTTTTTCTAACTGAAGTTCAAATGTTCTTCTTCTGTGCATTCCCCATGGAGGTAGACTTTTATACTTGGATAAAAAGGAAAAACAAATTTTTTAAGTAACTGGAAAGGAATATGCCAAGGTATCAATAGCACTTAATGGAGGAGGTGAGTATTGATTCTATCTGCTTCTTTAGATTTCTAATTTTTATTTCCAACATATTCTGCAATACACTCTAATAACCAAGTGGGAGCATGGGGAAATAGGATCCTATGACTGTAGCTACAAATTAGTGGCCCAAAGATTTATGGCCCATAGCCTTGTGGCTGTGCCGTGCTGTCAGTGTTTATGCACAGGGATCTGGTGATCAGACCTGTGAGTTGCCATAGCAACCAGCTCACCATTTTTGTCTTCACCCATCTCCTTCAGAAGTGCATTACCTGCCTGGCCCCTGAAGGCACCAGAGAGCAGAACCAGCTTTATAAAGACATTCGTCTTCCAAACACGAGAGCCAGAAATCCTTCAAGACTCACAGGACTGAATTTCTCCTGAGGAACTTGGGGTTCACGACAGCTGGTGGGGAGAAAGGCTTATTGTCACAGACTAGGATACGAGGGAGCAGCCACTGCTCTGCCTGTCTCATTTGGCAAAACCAAAGAAGCTGTCATCACTGAACTTTATTTCCCATACCTGGGAATTGTGTCATTCCTTTAGGATGAAATGATGACCTCTAGCAGAGGAAAGGTGGGACTGTGCAGCTGCGGAACTGGTGGACACCAACAGCCACACTCCAGGCAAGAGGCAGACAAGTAAGTGTGGCCCTCTGCACTTGTACTCACCAACCACAAGGACCCTGCCCTGTTCTGCTAGTCCTGATCCATGGGCAGACCC